GCGGGCCAAACTACTTTTGATTACTACTGCAAGTACAATGAAGCCTCACTCATTGGTTGCAGCCGGCAGTCAAGCATAACTTTTGACTCTATTGACGCCACTCCTCCCTCGTCCTGGCAATCCGTCCTCCAGTGAAATTCGATAGTTTCGGAAACATGGCGAAAGTTTTTGGGAGGGAGTTGAGTTGAGTCAAGGGTTCCCTTTTCCTGGCGGAGCGCTTATGCTGCGCATTGATTAAATTTGACTTGAATTGCATTACGCAGGCATTTGTATGGGATGGAGTGTAGCACCGTTTCAGGCGCTTGTGCAGTTCTTAGTGCCTGAAATTGGATTTTGTTAGACACTCGGCTTCCCTGCCACTTGTTGACATTCGGAGAATGCCGAAACTGCCTTTCGAAGGCTAGTATTTATTGGTTTAATTGAGTGCCTTGAGCAGGATGAAGTTTTCGCCATTCACATTTTGTGGCATTGTCCTCGCACCATAATTTACGAGCTTTCCTTTACAATTTTTGTTTCAGCTCGTGCACGTCTAAAAGTTTTTTACTTCCACCTTCTCACCATCTCCACTCACTTCAATTTTTCCTCCTGCTGGCGGTGGTGCTTAGTCATCTTCAAACAGCTCAATAATTTCCCCATCCACTCTCGAGCCATAAAAAAGCAGCGAGGACTTAGTTAAGATCTCGTGTGTGATGCGAGTGCTTGGTAATGCCAGCTCCGATGCCGTCATAACTGCGGCTCTAGTTTTTGCTCTCCCATCAAAGTTTTGTCTTCCAGTAGTTTCAACTGACGGCTCTCCTCCTTATTGTTATTTTTGTGGCCGCGTAATATGCCACGTACATTAGGAAATGTTAAAGTGACATAAAAACCAGAACCAGCGGAAACAGCGCAACAGTCAGCGACAACAATGTGACACCTGTTTTTGTCCGCCATTTTGTCATGCTTTCTACGGCGATGGCGAAGCACGAACGAGTATGAGTATGAGTATGTGTGAGTGGAGGGGGTGTGCATTGAGTGACATTTATGTGCAGCTTGGCATTTTATTTGCAGTTCAATGCACAGCGAAAATTGCTCTTGAAGTGCACCCTGACTTGCAATTTTTGCTGCAGTGGAAAAAGTACAAGAAGTGAAAATGAAATAACTTATTTAAAATTAAATGGGATATGGGGTGACGCCATAAGCCTCATGGCTTTGGGGCCGGTTACAAACAACATTTTTTAGATGTGTTTTGAAAATCATTTTTATTTTCATTTAAGGAATCTTAGAAATCAGTATGTCAAATCTCAAATACTTCAAGATCACAGTGTTCTCCCAGACTGACAAAAGAACTTGGCCAGGATCGGAAAAACCTCTTTCTACCTTTTGCTTACTTTTCAGAAAGTAAGTTTTTGTAATATTAATATCAATACCAAAATTATCCAAATTTTAATAGATTCTATGCCAGCACGAATAAAGGCTGTCATTTAAAACACAGGAGATGTCAAAAAATATTGAGAGCCTAATTAAGAACAGAGTTAGTTTCAGTGTTTTTTAGTGTACTTAGAGGGCATCAGTTCTTGAACTTTGCTTCATCTTCATCGCATATTCTCTTAGTACTCGCTTTTGGTTTCTGTGCGTCTCAGATTTTTATGCGATGGCCAGGTTCGCCTTGTGGCGGAGTTTCATAAAATAGTAGAGGTTGTTATTAAAATTCTTCGTGTGAAGGGAAAGTGCAAATGAGTCTGTGGTTATCGCGCCTGCCTAACTATTATTTTCACTATTGTCCCGCGAGCGCATAAAATGTTTGCCTAAAGTTTTCTCCTCTTTTCTGCGTTGGCTGACAGAAGAAGGAAAGTGCTGAGAAATGTACGAGTCAAAAGTTTTCCCATTTTGGCGCATGAAACAGCTAATGAAACATAATCATTATGTAATAATTAGAGGCAGGCACTAAGTCACGGGACGAAGAGGATAATCGCCGCCGTTATATAAGACGCCAGGGCTAAGCTGCTTTTCCGAAACGGAGACGGGGAGTAGAGGAGCACAATCTCGACAAGCTAATAATGCAAACAACTTTTTTGGGGAAGGACGTTCTGTTTCGTGGGTGTTAAGGCCTTTAGCCTGTTGTTATGGCTGCTCATTCGGAGCCGGAATTGGTCAAGCGAGTAATTATCGCAATTGTCGTTCCCCCGTTACGCTTTGTTGACTTCTGAGGTGTTAACGGGGCGGAAATTCATTCGTCTTAATGGTATTAAATGGATTTAGAGAGCTTGTGTTTTGTCTTCACTCCGCTTGTCTGCTGGTTTGCTTGTCTGCAACAGCGAATACTCAATATATGACCAATGCATTGCGCATACGCCTCGTAGGACTGGCAAACAAATTGTGGGAGGGTCGTTTAGCCGTAAGTGCAATTTAGTTAATTCAGCTCTTAATTAACTTAAAGTTTTATACGGAGTGGCGTGGTGGAAGTTCGAAAGCAATTGAAATGCGCATTGGGGCCAGCGGCTGTCGGAAAAACTCAGCTGCAAACTAAAGTTTCCTTCATTTATGTATTTATTTTTTTCTGCCCGGCTATTTAACTGGCTGGATAAAGTTTTTTAAACAGCGCTGGTGTTTGTTAGCTGTTGTTCGTTGTTAGTTTTGTTGTGGGTGTTGTTTATTTGCGGTCAACAACCAGATCCAGCGTCATCGTGGGTTGGCCAATGTTTGGTTTTGAGTTAAGGAAACGCTTTTGCCTCGCAAAAGGGAATCCAAACACACGCAAAACAAAAAAGCTTCAGAAAGTGTTGAAGATGGAGTAGAAAAGTTTTTAGGCGGGAACCATTTCAATGAGATTTTGTAAATCGAACTGGGAGAACATTGATTTACAGAAGGTTAATTTATATTAACACTAATATTAAAATATTTTATTAATTTATTAAAATTTACAGAGTATCATTTTTATTATATAATTTTTTTTTTACTTTTTACAATATTATATGACTTTTTGTCGTTTTTTTCAGAATTTTTAGAGTAATTTGGTATTGATCGCATTTTCCTCTTCAAAGTGATTTTTTGTTAAACTAAGTATGCACGTAATCTGAACTACCATTTTTTTGTCATCTGCTGGTATTTCGTTTTTGTAATATTTTGCGGTTGAACATGAAACGAACAAAAAAATTCCATTTAAATTGATTTATGATGAGAACTGCAGTTTACGGGATAGTTCGGAGCAATTAAAGTAAGAATTCGATGAATTATTTATTATAGGAAAGTATTTTGATGTGTGGGCTTCCGTTGCCAACTCAAAGCACTCAATTGTTTTTTTCCTGTTCCCAGAAAGCTAAGAGGAAAGCATGCCAAAGAACAGATTTCCGCACAACTGTGCCAAGTTCCTACATACTATTTTCTCACACAAAAGACTCTTGAACTCTTTTCAATAATTTTAAGATGTATATATATAAACAAATAAATAATATGACAACACGCCCAGCACTTGGCTCGATAACGAAAAAATGAGAAACAAAATGTGCTGAATAAATGGCAAAAGCCTTTTGGCTCGGTGAATTTTTTTGACACAGATATGAAGGGTTCTTGGATTAAGGAGGAGAATAAGACCAGGCGAGCGGTAAGAAGGCGACTTCGATTTGCATTTGGTAATTGAATTTTGTTGTGCAATTTATTTCTGGTTCTACTCATGCCAATGCATTCAAGAATAAATATGCAAATAATTTTATACATATAGTATTAGGTTTGTGTTCGTAAATAGAATAAAGGTTAAGTAAACTTATGATTTATATAACCACTAGCTTTTTTTCTTGGCTCCTTACAAAATTCTTTTTTAATAAGTCTGTGCCCTATGATTAGTTTTAAACTTTTTAAAGTCAAATTAGGTGGAGAAATAAATAGAAATCGGAAGGCATATAGAAAATTAAATAATTTATCAGCTAAAATGGAATTGCTGCAAATGCATTCAACATGTTACCAATTTGTGCTAAGAGCAGTTGCTCTTTATGGTCCTACTCAATAGCGGCCTGCAGGGAGGCAAATATATCGAAAGCTGATTTTTACGATAATGTAGATGAAGAACTGGCCGTGGGTCAGATCGTTAAAACCAAAAAGTCGGCGGGTTCCTGGAGACTACTTTAAACTCCATTAGGTCATATTTACGGCACAAGTTCAGCTGAGACGGGATATCCTCGTTCGAGTCGTGGGCAGAAAGTGTTAAAGTTCCCATGCAAGCGGCAAAAGGATAATAAAAAGTTGCCGGGGCTTGCAGCTCATGATAATAAAACTGGTGGCACGTGCTGACTTCAATGGACACGCAGCCTGGTCACGAATCCCTGGTCTCGAGACACTTTTTGCTTGCTGTTGACATTCCACACCTCCTCACTCTCCTTTTCCCCATCCTTTCGCTTTTTCTGTTTTTTGTCTTTCAAATAGATTTCAAGCAGCTTCAGCAATGTGAGCATTCCTTGCCTGCAGCAATTTGTTGCTGAATGATGTGTGAAGGACATAAAAATGCAGCAACGAGTGGAGCGTGCAGGGGTTGGGTTGCTGTATATTTTTGTGTCTCTTTGCGTAAAGTAGACAAGAGGGAGTAGAAAGTACTCTGCTTGATAATCGTGCCTTTAGCTGATAACACAAATGCGGAGAGGGCTGATGTTGACCCTTCAAGCCTGGTGGCTATTTAATAAAATATTAATTAAAAAATAATCGTTTCATATGGTTTTCCCGCGCCAATTTTAAAATTGTAGTCATTAAAAAGTTACGAGAAAATAATACATTTTCCGCAAGATGGCAGCATTTGCAGCTTGCATAACTCCATCACTCGCACTGATTTAGCTCAGTAACGAGTATGTTCTCTTCAAATTCAAATCTAGTATTTGTTAGTTAAGAAGTCAAGCCTAAACAAATAAATTTTTCATTCTGTCTATCACGGCTCCCGAGTATAAAACAATTGTAAAATAAGGTTTAGCTGGAAACACCCAAATAAAGAAAAATCGGAAAATAAGAATTTACCTAGAGCATTCAACATCGAAAGAACAATGGAGAATGAAGCAATAGTCAGAAAATATGTGCAAATCAACGATGCCAATAGGCAGAATTTACCGCTTATCGGCAACCATGGAAACACCGATAACTCCAGTTCGAATAAGAAGTCCTCATACTCCAGCTTCTCGGATCCCTGCGAGGAGTCGATCTATGGTCACTTTGGCTGGGTCCAGTTGGGCAAGGTGTTAATCCCGTACATTTTTAGGCAATCGGAGAAGTACTGCTCCGTACGCATGATCGAACAGAAGATACTAGGCCAGTATCTAGACTTCCTGCATTCAGATTTCTACTCCAGTTGCTCCTGCGTCCCCAGCTATTATATCACTGATGCCGAGGCTCGTCTCTTTAACGAGATCAATCAATGTCATTGCGATGGCCAATTCGGTCCGGATATCTTCAATCAAAAAGATCTGATTGTGCGTTTGAGTGATGCCTCCCAATTAAATCTGTTCCTCGCCATTTGCTACCGCAAGTTGGTGTCGGACATCAAGAATCCTTCAGAAAAATGCGGCTTTTTACGGATCAACAAGGAATCGGTGGTTCCATACACTGTGCACAACAATCAGCAGGTTGTGCCGTTCTTCTACTTTGAAGGTGAGACTGAGAGTCTAAAGACCAAGGCGGTGGTGCTCAGTGGCTGGAATTTGGCCTATCTGAAGTTCTGCTGCAAGGTTCAGGGCATAAACAACAATCACTTCTCCAGCGAAAATTTGGATGTGGTCTCGCTGACTGTCATTAAGAGCTACTTTCCCAATGGCACCGAATTCGAGGAATTCTGGCCCAGTAAGGCCATTTTCTGGAATCTCCCGATTAACAATCGTGACAGTGTCAATAACGGCGGCGGCTGCATCGATAACACTGTGCAGCATTTTTAGTGCTTTTTAAATTTACCTCGATGGATGCTATATTTTTGGATTCGTTACGAATTCCCAAGATAAACTGCGTTTTCAAAAAAGTTCCCCGACGCAAGGATTCTTAGCAAAAGGACCTCAAAGTTCGAAAAATGCAGAAATTGGCCAACTTTCCGGAGCTCTCAGAGGCAAACGGATTCATGGTTTGATTCGATGCTAAAGTTTTTTAAAAGATACCTTCTTTATCTTTCAAACCCCATACTTAGAATAATTTTAGGATTTTTTTTTAAGCCAGAAATCGATTTCAGAAAACATAGTAAAAAAACTTAAAAACAAACAGCTGCGGTCAAAATAGTAGTAGTGTTGCCGCCCTGTGTTTTTAAAAGTTTGTTGCTGTAATTCATCTTCTTCTGGTGATATTGTATTGATTATAATTGTACTATTAGACTAATTGGATAAGAAAATTGACAACAAAAAACTTTTAAAAACACATGCTGGCAACACTACTACTATTTTGACCGCAGCTGTATACTTTTATGTTTTTTGACTATGTTTTCTAAAACTTGTTTCTCCCTTAATAAAAATCCTAAAATTATTCTAAGTATGGGGTTTGAAAGATAAAGAGTGTATCTTTTATAAAATTTTAGCATCTAACCAAACCATGAATCCGTTTGCCTCTGAGAGCTTTGGAAAGTTGGCCAATTTCGGAATTTTTCGAACTTTGAGGTCCTTTTGCTAAGAATCCTTGCGTCGGGGAACTTTTTGGAAAACGCAGTTTAACTTTGGAATTCGTAACAAATCCAAAAATATAGTATCCATCGAGGTAAATTTTTGATGCTGCATAGTGTAATTTAACAAGAAAGGAAGCTAGCTTCGGCCAGCCGAAGCTTATATACCCTTGCAGATCATTCCTATCAATTAACAAATCGCAAAAATGTTCAATTTTCTAATATTTCTCATTAATTTTCCGATCGTTCCTATGGCAGCTATATGATATAGTCGTCCGATTTTGATCAAATTAAAATTGAAATTCGGAAATATTTAAAAAGAGTTATATCCTAGAGTAGAAGATAATACAATAAAAACCAAAGAAGCTAGAATTTATTTCCTATTACTTTTCCATTAATTTTCCGATCGTTCCTATGGCAGCTATATGATATAGTAGTCCGATTTTTGAAATAATTAATTCGAAATTCAGAAATATTTAAAAAATAACATCCCCAAAAGTAGAAGGTAATATTTCAAAAAACACCAAAGCTAGAATTTTTTAAAGTTTTTTTCTTCCGATCCTTCCTATGGGAGCTATAAGATATAGTTGTCCGATCCGGTCGGCTCCGACATATATACTACCTGCAATAGAAAGAAGACTTTTGCGAAAGTTTCGTCCCGATAGCTCAAAAACTGAGAGACTAGTTTGCGTAGAAACAGACAGACGGACAGACGGACAGACGGACAGACAGACAGACGGACAGACGGACAGACGGACAGACGGACAGACGGACGGACAGACGGACAGACGGACATGGCTAGATCGACTCGTCTTGTGATGCTGATCAAGAATATATATACTTTATGGGGTCGGAGACGTCTTCTTCACTGCGTTGCAAACTTCTGACTGAAATCATAATACCCTCTGCAAGGGTATAAAAATCACAGGGTGGCAACAAACGGATGCTGAGTGTCCGTTATTGATCTATTATGATACAATAAACTCCTAGCCATTGTAAAGATGGCTTGTTCTTGGGGCAACGGCAATATGATTTTAAAAGCACTCTCTCATTAACTGAGTAACGGGTATTTGATAGTCGAGTCAATAATTATAATTTCCCGAAAAGTCTGCTTTAAAGTGCACGTAATATATATGTCAGAATGACCCTGACCGGACCACTATATCTTATGGCTTAGAGACTAGTTTGCGTAGAAACGGACAGACAGACGGACAGACAGACCTTCGCTTAATTTTTAATTAATTTATTTTGTTTTCTTTTACAATTAAATTTGAGAGCAATCAAGCAAATTTCAGGATTTCAATTATCTGTTGACACTTTTTGCTGGCAGAACCCACAACAAAAGTTAATTTGATTACAACTTAAAATTTCATATTCGTTGTGCTTGCACTTTCCAATTTTACTTTATCCAAGTTTTATGCATTTCACTTGCAGCCTACCTCGGTCACGCCCCCATGTTTTGTTTACAACAACTTTGTGCCATACCGGGTCCGTGGAAAACTTTTCCCTGTGGCGTTCGTCGTCGTCGTCGTCGCAGCTTTTGCGTCTGTCTTGACTGCACTTTGCGGGCAGACAGGGCGGATGAATAATTAAATCTTCACACAGACAGAGCGGAGAAGTTTTAAGAGAATTCACATATCCTTGAGCTGCACTTTGTTTACGAGTAAAAATATCCTGAACTTTGTACTTTTTTCTTAATGCTTTCTTTCGCCCTTGGGAAGTCTTCGCAGCTGAATATCCTTTTTCCCATTATTTCATCATTTGCATTTTTTATTAGTCCTCATCATCTGTCTCACCAAGTTAAATGAGTCGGTTGACATGTTAAAAAAATATGTGCCTTACGATAATTTTTATGGGATTAAATAAAAATTCAAAAGAAAAAATGCACATATATTTCAGGAGTGGCATTCACAGAAAAGCCTGCAGGGCCAATTAGCAAGGGAAGATCAAACAAATTCTGAAAAGTTTGTAAGCTACCAATATTTGCTTAACCAATTACAACTTTTTAACAGTAGACTGTCAAAACTTGTCCCATGCAAATATAAATATAAAATTCTTACCGATTGAATTTGATATCAAAACACATTGTTATTAGCCTACAACAATGCCAAAGGCATAATTCCGAGCAAACATGATTTCTTGTATTGAATCATCAACAAAGACATTTAAATTCCAGCTGACAACTAATTGTTTGGCATACTTTGTCCGCTCTCCGAATTGTCTTCTTTGTATGCGAAGCAAGTAGCTTTGAAAATTTACACAACAAAATATACTTAAGAGATAAACGATTTGGGAAAGTCGGGGGGCATCATGCAAATAAAGCAGAAAGTACCCCTAACAAGATTTTCCGGACAAAGCAAAAGAGGAAACGTGAAAAAGTGGAAAAGCTCTCTACGTGTTTGGCGTCAAAAGGGCCGAGTGTGGAAAGGCAAAAGCGAAAGCAAAAGGAGGGAAAATATTAAGTCCAAATGCGTCGCCTTTCGTTAATATTAACTTTTCTGCTCAGTTTCTTGCCTTTTCTGTTGCAAACTTTTCCACCAAACTTGGGCGGCCCCAAAAACAACAAAGGTGGAGATAACAAAAAAGGGAAGGCAAAGTAAAAATTCCTGTTTATTTTGCCAGTCATGCATAAAATAATAAATTATTAGTTATGAACTGTAACAAAACAACGAAAATTATTATGTAGCGATGGATTTCGACACCATTTTGGGTCCCATCTGCATACTACAATGTGAGTAAAATGCCAAAAATGTAAACTGAAATTGTTTAACACAGAATGGGAAAATAATGTGAGCTGATTACGTTTTGCATTTCGGTGTCAAATTCATAATAATTGGGTTAGGCTGCTAATTGAAATTGGTTTCTGTTGTTTTCGATGCGTTGTGAAAAGTCACCAATTTATTGGAATTTTGCAACCGTACCAACACATTTTTTATTACAGGGGTAAATCTCTTTATTATAACGACTGTCAGGCTAACAACGCATTTTGTTCTACCCATTTGCCAATTAACTCGTTTTCCGAAAGCAAGACAGCACAGCTGGTTCCTTATTGAGTAGTTCTCAGAATGCCTCCTTGAGCATTCTTTCGAATGCCACAACCGTGGCCACAAGGAAAACAGCCTGCTTATCTCTAAACCGTCTTTCGCTTTCTTCGAAGGGAAACCGAGAGGAAAATAAAATGAAAAATGACGCCAAGTGAAACTAAAACTCGGTTCAACTAATGGTATTATAAAACGTAAGAGAAAGCAACCGAAAGCAAAGGGCATGGCGCTCAATTTGATTAAGTGCCAGAAAGTCGACAGCGACTGTTGTGTTTGCCATCCTTGGTCCCAAAATTAACCCACAAATATCACCCATTCTCAGGCCACCGCGTTAACGAGTTTAACGTGATTAGGTCGGGAGAGTGATCAGGGTTGGATTGTGTAGGACGATTTGCGCAATTGGTGGGATGAAAATTAATCACGGGGGTGATATGGGTGATAATAACCCCCCACTCAGGTAAAAAAAAAAGAACTTTGCTATTAAAAAAGTATCCAAAAAAAATGTCTTCTATAGATAAAAAGAACACGTCGCGATCAAATCGATATGCGCATGGTAAATTTCTGGTAATGCATACTAGAGCCCTGCATGAATCATTCAATTTTTGTTTTATCACAGTATGCCATGAAATTTCTGATTTGTTTAATTCAATTCTATGTGAAATAAATTAAATGTTGTTCTAATTCATTTCGAATTGAATGAATTGAATGAATTATTTTATGAATTGTTTGAATTTTTCAGATTTTTTTTCTGTTTTCTTTTGAGAACAAAAAGTGGAAAATTTTTAACAAATCAATGTTAACTGCATAGTAAATAAAATTCAGGCAGATTTAATCACAAAATTATGGCCCTTTCTTCTTCAAAATAAATTGTCGTTTGAATTATTTCGGAATTCATGCCATTCATTCATTCAATTCTATTAAACTCAAAATTCAAATTCATTCAATTCTATTAAACTCAAAAATTCTAATTAATTCATTCATATAACAAAAAAAATTCAAAATAATTCATTGGATCCATTCATGCAGGGCTCTAATGCATACTCATATCGTTTCACCGAAATCTCTCTCGCGGAGAAAAAAGAGGAAGAAATAGATCAAGATAGCGCTTGAAGTTACATAAGTGGGAGGGAGACAAACTCTAAATTCGATCTGGCCTATTGTGTACATTTTGACCATATCGAATTGAGGCGCCCGCATATGAAGTCAAAACCACATAACATCAAATTTAATTTAATCAAACAAAAATTGGGCGGTT